CCTGATTTCCTGTCTTACATTTTTTGATCTAATATCTGCCAAAATAAAATTTTAAAAATGGAGAAATTTTCTATGAAATCAGTTCTGGGTTCCTAATGACAACACCTGTTACTACAAAGAGCTCAAAGCAAAACAAAAATGGAAATTTTAGAGACCCTGCTGCTTTTACCTTTGAAAACTTTTGTTTGCCAATTTAATGGCACCTGAACCTGTTACAGGGAGGACTCTACTTCTTACCAAACCAAGAATGCCTGTAGTGTTCACCAGCCTCACATTGTCTTTGATCATAAGTGGGTTCTGATATTATGCCTTATTGGTCAACTGTTAATCAAGGTACTGAGTATCACTGTATTAAATCTCATCTATTTGATAAAACTATGGTACATTTATATACTGGTTTCTTATTTTTAAAGCTTAGAAGAAAATTATATTATCAATAATAATATATCTGTAAAATATATGTATCTGTAAATATCCAAGTACTGTTGGCTTTCTATTACCAGAGCCCCTCTATAAATGTCAACTCTCAGTTTCTGAGTTAGAGAGGCAAGTTAATGAAAAAATAGTCTGTATGGTATATGTTTTTGTCTATATTTTTATAACAAAAATTAGCTATAAATATAAATAATTACATTTACCATATTTTATCAAGTCAATTCAACAACCTATTGCTTGTTCAATAAGTATTAAATACTTAATGTCTTAAAATAATTTGCTAGAACTGTGTAATCTTACATATAAAATCCACTGGATTTGGTTTTGCAACACAGATTTGGTTTCTGCCCCTGCCCAGAAATGTCATGGATGTGGTATTATGTGAGCATGGTGCCCTGAATTTGCAGCAGTTGCTGCCTTGAGTTTAATTTTTTAGAAATTATTAATTCAATTTTTAAAGATTGATTATTTATTTATTCATTTATTAAGAGAGGAGAAAAGAGGGAGAAAGAAAGGAAGAGAAACATCAGTGTGTGGTTACTTTTCACGCACCCTCCAACAGGGACCTGACCAACAACCAAGACATGTACCCTAGACTGGGAGTCAAACCTGTGACCCTTTGATTTGCAGGCTGGAACTCAATCCACTGAGCCACACCAGCTAGGGGAAGAAATTATTAAATCATTTTATATATGGTGTCTACAGTTCATTCAAATTAATGCCTCAAGTATGGCATATGTCTTCTGGGCAGAAGTAACTGATCTAACAAGGTTATATGATACCTTCTATATTAGCCCCTAAAGTCCTAGGTATAAAGTATTTATTAATATTAGTATATTTTAATACCTCCAAATTTAGTGTACCTAAACAGTAAACAGCTTGGTTCATTAATCTCCATGTATTATTTATTACATATTAAAACAGGCCTGTATTTGCTCCTAATACTAGAGGAGGTTTGTCATAGCTCTTTTTTTTTATTTTTTAACTTTATTTTGCCATAGCTCTTTTGTGTGTCAGATCTACTGCAGCTCTTCTTATCAGGAAATTGGATCCCCTCGGAGGAAATCTGTCTGTAATTCTACTCTTGTATGCTCTTACCTGAGTGTAATGGGAAACTTTGATGAGGTCACATTTATAGCTGGTCCTTTGACACTATATACATTAAATCTTTAAAAAGTTAGCCACACATGTATCTGGGTGCTGTCCCAGATTCTCAAGAGAGGCTTACAAATGAGAACTGTCCTGGACCTCAGCAAGTATGGGAACCCACCCACTTTTCCCCACCCCACCATGATCCCAAGATCTACTACTACTACTACTACTACTACTACTACTACTACTACTACCACCACCACCACCACTACTACTACTACTACTAATAATAATAAAAGGAATCGGTGCTACTGAGGACCAATCTGGTATAAAATAATTTGGAAACATATTTACTTAAGAATGTAATGCGATTTGTTTGTATTTAATAACAGAGATACTTGAATCCTTCCCATGATGACATGCCTTCTGCATTCTTTCTCTGACTAGTTAGATTTTAATCTTCACTCTGATCCTTAGGGGGATATCATGAGCAGTCCTCAGGAATAAGGGAAGAAAACAACAGCCTTGAGGTACTACTCAGCAAGGGAATAAAGGGATTTTTTGAATACAGGTAGTGATTTGCAGATCTTCATAAGGTTTTAAAATCATGTATACCTTTTTACATGGCTGTGAATTTTTCCTATCTCCATGATGAAACCCAAAATGACTCTGCCTTGTTTTCCAGAATAGCTGTGAAGCAGGGAACTGGGAAGATTTCTTCCTTTTCCTCAGTCCTGCAAGAATGTGACACCCAAGGGAGGGAGTGGGTAGGAGTAGTTTTATTGAGGAAGGAAAAGCAGGCCTACTCCCTTGGCTGTATGGGAAGAAAGTGGGATCTGTGGGACCATCTGGGCTGGAGAAACAGCAGTTCCTGACACTGATAAATGATTCAGTCAAAAATAAATAAATACCTTCTTATACCAGAGCAACATTATTATACTATTCACTAGGGTGAGGAATTTTGTATGTGACAAATTCTTCTTTGATCTTGTCCAAAGAGGAGAATGAGTGGGGTAGGAATCAGACAACTTAATTATAGTATATGCACTTGCTCTTGTGTTACTCTAGGCCCCAAGAAGAGTTTGACCAGGAATCAGAATAATAATTTTATCTTACCTTGTAAGAAGGGAAAATACATGCATGTAGTCTCAAGGATGTAAAATTTTTCATCTCTTTCTGTATACACACACACAACGTTCAAGGCTGCATTACCAAAGTGATAATTTTCAGAGGAATTTGGAACAAACTTCAGTGAAATGGGAGCAGGGCTATAAAAGAACTGAATGGTTATGGAAAAAATACAATAAAATATAACAAAAAAGCAAAAAAAAGTGAACGTATTTCAAACTTAAAACATCTTGTGATTCACACAGAATAATGATGTTAGGAAAACTTTATTGTGCAATAGATTTTGTGCAGAACTACTCTATGGCATATTCTAGGTGAAAGCTTCTCTCATGAGTGCTTTACCTTTTTGATTCAGGCATAATTTAGGTGAAATTTAATATGGTTTTTACCAAATGATTTATAACACTCATGGGGAAAATTAAGAATTTTAATATTTAGAAAGGAAGAAAGTTATTTAAATTGACTCCATTTACCTACTTAAATTGCACTCATCTATATAAGAGTGGAAGAAAGTATAATATGAACTTTCTTCCACTCTTATATCTAAAAATATCTTCTTAGTATTCTTACTTCATTATGTGCCAGCAAATGAATTATGTGCCAGCAAATAAATTAACCCTTAGTTTTATCTAGTAGTGCCTGAGTTTATAGAGCTGACAAAAATAGCTTGAGCTTAGTGCAGATAAAGAAAACCTTACCTGACTTCTACATATATTTCATAAAAATAATGTCACTATATTGTATACTATACCATATAGGAAAATAGTTTCATAGAATTGCTTCTAACGTTTAGCACAATCTTAAACACTTTTTCTCAGAGTTTCTTTATATTAATCTCTCTCTTTAAATATGATGAGTATCTACTTTGTACTCCAAAAACTTTACGTGGCCATCGCAGAGCTAAATATAATCTATTTTGCAATTTTCTATTTATATAGCTTAGTCCCCCTCCTAAATTGTAATTCACTAAGCAAGTAGGCATTTTTCCCTTCACCCCCACCCCTTTTTGGTAAATATTAATAAATGGTTGTTGACTTATATATGACTATTGTAGTTGCTATATTATTAACTATATTAACTATCAAGTTAGAGTAATAATATAGATGCTATATTATTAATTATGGAGGTGAAGTCATTCAGTTTGCTAGCTCTCTGCAATTTTGTTAAATAAATATGCAATTAAAAGTACATATATTTTCATATTTTTAGGTACAGTGTCAAAGCACATATTGTGGATGCCCAGCCATATGCAACTAGTACTTCCTTTTCTGAGCCCACTAGACTTAGTTGTGACTGCCAGCAAGGGTGACTCTGCCTGAGGGTTTTTCTTCCTGGTTACTGGAGACCTCTCTGCCCCTGAGAGGTCATACTGGAGGAATTAATGACCCCCAGGAGCAGCCTCAACCAAACCTGTCAGGAGTTGATGAGTCCCAGCTTCCTTGCCTCCCAGTTAGCATATCTATAGGGTTAGACACTATCTCCTAGAGTTCTCCAGTGGAACTAAGGTCAGTTGCCCACTGTTTTAACTTGGTAATATACCATGTGATGGCTCTCTTTCCTTCCCTGCCTCATTTCTCCATGTCCCTACTGGCACTTCCTGAGTTAACTCCAGGTTAAACTACTTGCAATCTACTCCTAGTCTCAGAGCCTCAGAGTCTCAAAGGGTAATCCAAACCAAAAGTAGGGTTCATATGTCAAAGTTTACATTTTTATCTCTATTTTGATAATGTCCAACAGAAATATAATTCAAACCACATATGTAACTTAAATTTTTCTAGTGTCCACATTGAAAAAAGTGAAAAGTAACAGGTGAAATTAATTTCAGTAATACAATTAATTTAACTCAATTATCCAAAATATTATCATTGTAACATGCAATTGATGTAAGCCACATTAATGAAATTTTTTGTACAAAGTCTTTGAAATCAGGTTGTATTTTGCACTCCAAGTACGTATTTATTTAGACTGGTTATGTTGCAAGCACTGAATAGTCACTTGTGGCTAGTGGCTACTATAGTGGATGGTGGTGATCAATTCCCTACCATCGTAACCCATGTGTCAAAATTTAGAGACTTGCTAACTCTTGAATATACATGAGCCTGTATGATGGGCCACAGTTTCCCTTCTTAGCAAAATTTTACTTGTCGTGTCCTTTTCTGCTAAGCTGAATAAAATCTCTGTAAATATTTAGACTGACAGGCACCTTGTTTAGTCTGTGTTTGCATATTTCTGTTATTTCAAGAATGAGCCTCTGGCAGTAATAATTCTGAGACTCACTGCTTTGTATATGTTCACATGAAAAATATAGACAAGATGCTCAACATCTCTGTTTGTGTGTTTTTCAGGCAGAAGGTACCAGACTTCAGCGAGAACTCCGAGGATATTTAGCAGCTATCAAAGGTAATATGTGTGAGTTGTTTATAGCATGTTACCAAGTACAGGTTGTTCTTGGAATTCATGAGTGACAGGATTGAGTGTTAATTATACAGAGCCATTTGGCTTTCTGAGAAGATGGTACTTGATGAGAGGTGTTTCAGTCTACCCACTCCCAAATTCCCATTGAAGTGATAATCAGAATATACAAGGGAAAAAATATGTCTGCCTTGGTGCTGGATACTTGATGCAGACCCCAGCTCATGGGGTCTGCCACATTGTGGATGGGGGAGAGACATTCACACAGACTACCCAGTCCTGTGGAGAAAAAGGGAGGGTGGCTTCGCTCTCAAGAAGAGCCAAAAGCCTCAGTCGTTGGTTTGATGAGCTTTTATTGTCTTTCTGGGCACATTACAAGAAGGTCTTCATTTACTATGTACAGGTTGGCTTTAGGTGGTTATCTTTTACAGAAAACAAAGGAGATGATGCCATTAATCACATCACAGAAGAAGGACATTTGCAAATGCAAAGGGTAAAGTGGTTGAACTGGTTACAGTCCATACTGGGGAGTTTTAGCGTGGATTTTAGGAAGTTACAGTAAGCACTTGCTGCCTCAATTCAGGGTGAGGGAGTTTTAGCAAAAGCAAGTCTCAAAGCCATCTAGGTACATTGCAGGCCTGATTCCCCATGGGAGAACCTATCCGTGGGCGTGGGTTCTGTGCATCAGACCTTGCTTTCCACTGGGAGCTGGGCCCATGCCATGCAGAATGGTCTCCTACAGAAACTAGGAATAAGCGCCTCCCACATGCTAGTGTTTTCTAGGAAGAGTTGTTAGAGCAAGCTTGAGACTTGAAGAAAAGCTGCAGCTGGTTTACCTCCTGAGGGAGAGTATGTCCCTAGAGAACACTCCCAGACTCACACTTAAACCCTCTAGCTGGAAGGGGTAAGAATAGTGGCAGAGACAGGTGTAGAGAATTATCACAGCCCTGCAATCATGGCCCTGGACTGTCTGTGATTTGTAGGGACCAGCCACACATGCAGCCCTGCCGCTGTGTGGGGAAAGAGAGGCCCTGACATTGGTTTCTGTCACAGTCATAAAAGGCAAAGCAATGAGGCCAGTGGTGAAAAGAGGAGAGAGCATTAGGGAGGAGAGTTCTGTCTCTACCTGCTGTACATCATCCAGTTCCCAGCACAGAATCAGACTTGAGTGTACCCATGGCTGTGATGGGTCACAAGGTAGATTTTGAGATTAGTGGGGAGAGAATGGATCCTCTAACAAGGTATCTTGGATAAACTGTCCATAAACTGACCAAACACTTGGAAAAAAGTGAGATTCCTAACCTCACACTCTACTCCCTTCTCCTTGATTTCAGATATAATAAAAATTTAAATATGTGTATACTATAGGTATACTAGAATGATAAGATAAATACAATACACTTAGTCTCTAGTTTTGGGTGACAAGGTCTTTACCAGGGTAACCCAAAGACAGAAAACATAAATGTAAAGATTGAGAGTGTTGATCTCACAAATATATAAAATGAATATATGTATATTTAAAAAATTATTTAGATAACACACTTAGTGAAAGTGAACCAAAATATGAAGAACTCAGTAAATAAACTAAATGAAGATCTGTTGTTTGAAAGATAATGAATAGTCATATTAAAAGAAAATTAGCCAAGAGGAACTATAGATGGGTAACAAATTTGAAAAATGCTTTTCCTCATGAGTAATCAAAGAATAGTAAATAAAACCAAAAGGAAGATGATGTCATTTTTCTTTCAAATTTTTAAAGACATTAAAATTTAAAAAACAACCGTAAACCACTTTCATACACTGATGGTAGGATAGCTTTCCAGGAGAGCAATTTGTTAAAAACCTTTAAATGCATTGTTTGGCATGCTTTTTGACACAGCACTTCCATTTCTAAAATTTATCCTAAGTGTTTCAATGTGAATGTGTGAAGTTTATTACAAAAAGGCAATAAATAATAAAATAATGAAAATTTTAATAATAAAAAAATAGTCACAATAAAAATTAGTGAAATTAGTTTTTAACTAATGTTTTACTTTTTAATACAGTTGACATACATTATTATATTAGTTTCAGTTATACAATCCAGTGGTTAGACATTTATATAACTGACAAAGTGATCACCCAGGTAAATATGGTACCCATCTGACACCATACATAGTAATTACAATATTAATGACTACATTCCCTATGCTATACTTTACATTCCTTTGACTGTTTTGTAACTACCAATCTGTACTTCTTAATTTCTTTACTTGTTTTACCCATTTCCTTCAACCCCTCCTCCCATATAGCAATTGTCAAGAATGTTCTCTGGATCTATGAGTCTGTTTCTATTCTGATCATTATTATTTTTAGATTCCACATATAAGTGCAATCATATAGCATTTTTCTTTCTCTGTCTGACTTATTTCACTCAGCACAATACTCTCTAGGTCGATCCATGTTGTTGCAGATGGCAACATTTCATTCTTTTTTATGGAAGACATTCCATTGTATAAATGCACCACTTCTATATCCATTCATCCACTGATGGACAGTTAACTTCCTTCTATATCTTGGCTATTGTAAATAATGCTGCAATGAACACATCTGTGTATAAATTATATATTTCATATATCTTTTTGATTTAGTGTTCTGTATTTCATTGGGTAAATACCCAGAAATGGAAATGCTGGATTCTTCTTTGTCTTTTGTAGCTTTTGTTTTAAAGTCTGTTTTGTCTGGTGTAAGCATTGTTTTTTGTTTTGTTTTATATCCATTTTCATGAAATACACTTTTCCATCCCTTTACTTTCAGATTATAGGTGTCTTTCCATCTGAAGTGAGTCTCTTATAGACATGATATGTAAGGGTCTTGTTTTCTTACTAATTTAGCCACTCTATGTCTTTTGATTGGCACATTTAATCCATTTACATTTAAAATAATTAATGATATATATGAACTTATTGCCAGTTTATTATTCATATTTTTGATTCTCCTTCTCTTCCACCTCCTCCTTTTCTTCTTCCTCTTTATTCTACTTCAAGGAGAGCCTTTAACATTCTTGTAATACTCATTTAGTGGTGATGAACTCCTTTATCTTTTTTTCTTATTTGGGAAGCTCTTTATCTGTCCTTTGATTCTAAATGATAGCTTTACTGGGTAGAGTAATCTTGGCTATAGGTCCTTGTTTTTCATCACTTTGAATATTTTTGTGCCAATCCCTTATGGCCCTTAAAGTTCGTGTTGAGAAATCAGTCTAATGATAGCTCCCTTGTAGGTAACTAACTGCTCTTCTCTTCCTGATTTTATGATTCTCTTTTTGTCTTTTACCTTTGGTATTTTATGTTGTGTCTTGGTGTGGGCCTTTTTGGATTCAACTTTTTTGGAACTCTGCATTTTCTGGACTTTATATCTATTTCCTTCAAGTGAGGGAAGTTTTCAGATATTATTTCTTCAGATAGATTTCTAATTTCTTTCTCTTTTTTTCTGGTACCCCTATGACACGGATGTTGTTACTCTTGATCTTGTCCTAGAGGACCCTTCAACTGTCTTCATTTTTTAATTCTTTTTCATTTTTGCTGCTTTATTTGGGTATTTTCTGCTTCTTTGTCTTCCAAATTGCTGATTTGATCCTCTTCTTCATCTACTCTGCTGTTGATTTCTTCTAGTGTATTGTTTGTTTCTGTTATTATATTCTCCATTTCTGACTAGTTCTTTTTTATGGTTTCTATAACCTCTTTACTGTTACATTTTTAATCTTCACCCAAGGATATGTTTATTGATTTGAGAGAGAGAATGAGGTGGGGAGAGAGGAACATTAATTTGATAAACATTGATATGAGAAAGCATCAATCTCTTGCTTCCTGTATACTTCCTGACCAGGGGTCAAACCTGCAACCTAGGTATGTGTCCTGACTGTGAGTTGAACCCACAACCTTTTGGTGTACAGGACAACACTCCAGCCAACTGAGCCACCTAGCCAGAGTGCTATGACCTTTATTATGCTCTTGGAGTTCTAAGTTCATTGAGTATAATATAGTCAATATTTTAAATTTCAGTGTTTTGAACTCTATCTGGTAGTTTGTCTCCATTTTATTTAATTCTTTTTTTCTGAAGATTTCTTCTGTTCTTTTATTTGGTAACTGTTTCTTTGTCTTTCCGGTTTGGCTGCCTCTCTATGTTTGTTTCTATGTATTAAGTAGATCTGCTATGTCTCCCAGTCTTGGTAGAGTGGTCTTATGTAGTAGGTGTCCTGTAGGTTCAGCCTTCCCATTCACTCAAGCCAGATGCTCCAGGTGTGCCCCACATGTGCACTGACCTGTTATATTTGAACCTTTGTCGCTCTCAACATGTCAATGACTTCCAGGCCTATTGTCTACTACGACTAGCTGCAACTACAGTGGAGTAACTGCTGTTCAGGGGCCCAACCCACAAAGCAAAACTTGGTTCTTCAGCTCTGGTGCCTGCAGTTTGTGTGTGTCTTTCATGGCAGTGGTTGGGTTGTACTCTAGCATGTTTTATAGTTGGCCACCAGTATGCTGACTCTGGGCCTCTCAGAGGTGCAGGCTGCTTGTTCCCTGTCTAGGACCACCTGTCATTTGCTACAGAGTGATCTACAGCTTGCTACTTTTCCTGGTACCTAAGAGTGGCCAAGCTGCACACTTAGTCCCGCCATGGCTAGTATGGGCCTGGGGCCTCTTAGCAATAAATTTGGGGCATGCTGAGGCTGGACACTGCTTGTTTGGGGTTTGCAAATTGAGATAATTTAGGAAAGTCTGCAACATGAGCTTGGACAGGCTGTTTGTATGGAAAAGCTACAGGAAGTGGCTTGGGTGGGCCTGCTAGTTGGGTAGGGTGGGGTCTCAGGGAATCACCAGGGCAGGGTGAACAGTGTCAGGCAGGTTCATGGAGACTTGGATATGACGCCAAACTGCACATGCATGGGATGTACTCAGCAAAGGAATAATGGCCACTGCCAGCACTTCTGTCTGGGAGAAAGCTGCCCC